GCTTCATTCCTTAATATTAATTAGCCAGTAAATGAATCACGTGAAAAACATTAAGAACNCTCCGCGCAATTGAAAATTCATTCCTCCGCTCCTACTTGAGATTAATTAATGAAACCGCTGTCATTTATTGAGAATTTAATTCTCTATCGATCTGCATCGGTTTCATTCCTTCATCTTATTTAGGGTGGGAGAAATGAATTTTCCAATCGGGAGGGCCCCTCCGGGCTCACTCGACATCGGAAAGCCGTTCGGGGTTTCTCCGCGATTTTGAAAATACATTCCTCCGTTCCTAACTGAGATTAAGAGATGAAACCGATTTCATTAATTAAAAATGCAATTCTCAATCTGTAGGCTTTGGTTTCATTCCTTCATCCNAAAAAAAAAAAATTCATCTCTCCCCTCCTAATTGAGATTAAGGGATGAAGAAAGGTCAATTCGACGGAGAATTAAATTCCCCATCAACTTACGCTCTTTCATCCCTTAATCTCTCTAACAAAAAATTATAAACTGCCAAGAAATTCAGGGGCCAGTGAGANATGCGCAAATAGTCTGAACAATACTGTAGGGAGTGGGAGTGAGACGGAGACTTCTCTCTCGCACAAAAGGTTCTCATTCACGGCGCCGGATTCAGGCGTTGGAACTGNCCCCTCCGCGCTCACTCGATGCCGGCGAACCGTTCGGGGTAACTCCGCGCTTTTGAAAATGCATTCCTCCGTTCCTACTTGAGTAGGATAGCATAGAATTTCCCANAATTCACCTCTCCCCTCCTAATTGAGATTAAGGGATGAAAAGACGGCAGTGCCACGGAGAATTAAATCCCCTATCAATTAACCCTCTTTCATCCCTTAATCTCTGCAAAGAAAAAATTTAAACTGCCATGAAAGTCATGGGCTAGTGAGAAAAATAATAGTTTCGCGGTGCACAGTGACTCNCAACATATATTAGATTCGCTCTGAATAAATAAACAAGCTATTGAAAAAAAAACACTGGTATTCCGAATTACAAAAAAAAAAATCATCAACTTCAATTTTTTCATTGGAAAACATTTTTTTTTCNCCAGTGAGAAAAATAATAGTTTCGCGGTGCACAGTGACTCCCGGTAATTAAAAATTCACCTCTCCCCTCCTAATTGAGATTAAGGGATCAAAAAAAGTCAGTTCGACGGAGAATTAAATTCCCCATTAATTAAGCGTCTTTCATCTCTTAATCTTTTTAACAAAAAAATATAAACTGCCATGAAACTCAGGGGCCAGTAAGAAAAATAATTCTTT